AATTACGAGCAATTTCTGTCAACATCAGGCTTTTGTATTTTCTTTTCCAAGCTGAAATATGCCCATGTCCATGGGTTAGTGAAGAGCCGTACAGTTGGGTGGCATGAGGTATATGTCAACCTCTCCATTAGGATCACCAACATCAGACCCACGTGGACCACAATTGTTCATGAACAAGGCAACTTTTTTGTTCGTCTTTCGTCGTACGTGAGGCGTGAAGACCTCCCAAAACCATCTACGAATCGTGACGCCATCCGCCCAGGCATTTCGTTGGCTGAAATAGGGAATAGGCCGTTGTTGATTTCGAAAGCACCTTGGCTTCTGAGATTTTCCGATAATGGCCATTGGAAGCTTTTCTGAGCCACTAACACTCGTGCATACAAACGCTGTCACACGATCTTTTGACTTGATCGATTTCGTACCGCGGATGCTTTTCTTGTTTTCAGGGGAGCAAATATACGTGCGGCATGATAGAAGTTTGAAAAATAGACCGGTCTCGTCTACATTGTAAATGCAGTCTGTGTCATACTCTCGCAGCTTAGCGCGCAGATCCGCAATGCCGCTGGCCACTTCAGATGCGTCAACGGTTCCACCAGCCCCGTGCAATGAAATAATGTGTAGCGAATGCCGACGAACAAGTTTTGAACCCATCCGTTGGAAGCAGTAAAGTTCTTAAGATACTGACTAATTTCCGTTTTCCGTTCCTTTTCCAACAATCTATCCCGAGAAAGCAACGCTCGTTGCTGGATAACCGCCCTGGTTACTGTCATTCGCGCACTTCTTGCTATATTAATAAACGTGAGGACTTCTGCCTCGAGTTCCAGAAGGGGCGGAGTGCGTAAGCTTTTGCGTCTAGTGAGGCACCATGTGCGTGAGCCTTTGAAATCAACACAGAGAGGTTCGACTTAATGTTTGTGACTGTGCTGCGTCCAATTCCAAAACGCTTCATCACCGAAGAAGCGCTTGCGCCGTTCTGGAGACAACGCGCAGCCTCGGATTTCTCTTTCAACGAAAGGCGCTTGCGCCTCTTAAGCGAGTCGCGCGCCACCTGTGAAAAGTGGAATGTCATTTTGAGGCACCCTATTTATCTGTGCGGCGGAGGAATGGTACGGGCGGTCTGTGAGCGAGACCTCTAAAATGGGTTTCAAATACCAGCCGAGGAAAGGCCTGTGTGAATGTAAGTACACTGTAATTACACTGTGTAATGGTGCTCGAAGTTATGATACCGTTGTCAAGCGAAAATGATGCTTTTATTGCGAGGTCGCTCTTACAGTATTCAACCTGCTCTTATATCGCGACCCCCCTGTATTTGGAACGCATTTTCTTTTTTAAAAGGAGAAAGTACTTGTTTAAGGGCGTTGTAGCCAAAACAGGCGCCATTCGAAGCGCCGTATTTTAGTCGATAAAATGAGCCTATTAATTCCTCACCTGCCTGGATCTCGTCAGAACCTACCCAAATATATTGTTATGGTCAACATTGCCGGAATTCCGGAAATGGGGCAATTTGGAACATGTTTTTTGGGCGTGGTAAGCAGGTTTTCAGGGAGTTAGAACAGTACACGTGTACAATTGGTGCAAAGCTATGCATAAATACCTTCGAAGCTGTGTTCGAAATTACCCTTTTTTCCAAATTACCCCGCCGGGAAAGGGTAGTTACTGGGCGACTCCGAAAAACACAAACGCACAAATACTAAGTTACTGGGTGCAGTATTTTCTCTTATTTTTACTTTGTTTATATTTTATGAAATTAACATTGTCCGTAAAATATCGCGTTATTTTTTTCCATTTGCCCACCAACTCGCTGGACGTAAAGTAAACCCGAGTTTGAAAAATCCCACCACGAGTTTTGCGGACTGACCTCCAGCAAGGTACCTGCTCGCAACAAACGGAAGTCTGGTACAGGGGGGGTCGCGATATAGTGCTACCCTGTGTCAATGGGCCGAAAACGGCACTATATCGAACCAGGCACTGTAAGATACTGAGATTTACGGCTTTTTTGCAGCCACTCGCTTGCATCACTGATCAGAAAGGCCGCTTGCAGGACGCCGCCATCACTCATTCTTTGCATCTTCACTACAGACTCAAGTCTATTCAAGCATTTCTGTTAGTAGTAGCTGCCGAGCCGTTGCATTGACTTCCTCCTTTTTCGCAGCCATAAATGCCAGCCTGCACTTGTGCAGATGTCCAATTGCATCATCGACCCTGCCTTTTTCCGCCATAGTCTCTATTCGAGTTAGCAACTGCATAATATCTCTCCGCAGCGGCAGCGGCTCTCGGGCAGTACGTCCATCCAACCGCCTCTCTGGAGGCCCTTCGTTTTTGGCTCAAAATTCGTGCCACCCGCAGAAAAGCAGCACTATATCGGAGCTGGCACTAACAAAGATAGCACTATATCGCGACCCCCCTGTATATCGTTTTGCCACCCGACGGATCACGTGCACCTGCGCGAATACTCGCTGAAGCGAATATAGTAGCTCGCCACAAGGATAGAAAGGTTGTTGACAACCTTTCTACTGACATCAATGGAAAGGGGGATGTGTTTCGTCTTCTTGACGGGCTGAGGGGGGCCGTTTGGAGCGGACCGCTTTTTAGAAGCTTCTTCCTGTCTCTGTTCTGCGATTGCTTTGGCGGCATATGTGGCAGATCTTGTGGTGCTTTGATCCGTTGATGGACTCTGGGTAGGTGAAGTGATAGGGGCGTCCATGACGCAAACAGGTACGACCCGTGCAGTATGAGACTCGTTTGTGCTGATGAGAGAGCGGAAACCCCACTTCGTTTTCCTTCAAGACGGGTCGATCCCGCACTGCTGTAATCAGGCGGATGTGAAAACTCGTGGGAAACTCACATGCCCCGAGTTTTCGGTACAGTGGACCCTACGCATTAGTGCCGCCCTGTGTGAATACTCAAAAACGGCACTAATCTGGAACGGCAGTGATCAGTTGAGTGAACCATTGCCAGTCCAAAACTTTGTAGTTAAAGTCTGTTGTTGTTTCCGACCCTCGCTCTCATGCCTAGCTTCCAAAAAGGCTCGTTTTGCAGACCTCAAATGTGCTAAAGCATTGCTCACATCGTACTCCACACCCAGACTCTCCAAAGGTCCA